GCCTCGCATGGTGGATATCAGGAGCCATGGTCAAATTTGTCGCGCCTGGAATCGCTTCTACAGCCCCGACGTGGATAGGGTCTTTGTCCATGTTCGCAAGCCCGACTCGATGTCCGTAAATGTCGTCCCAAGCTTTTGCTGTGTTGAAGGAGAGCTCATTGGGCATGACGCGGACTACGGGCCCGTATTTGTCGTGGTGGACCTTGTAGTCGAAGGCGATGCGGCCGCGTAACAGGGAGATGATCGAGGGAATGGGCGAAATGCGCCATAACAGCGGGCCAGGATATTTGGCAAGAGGGTGAAGTGTGAGGTTGTAGATTGCTGTCAAGACTACGTATGCGACGAACTGGACTTATCAGATCAATGTCAAGAGGAGAGCTTGGAGACGTACTGCAGCGGGTGCCCAGATCGCGATCAGGCGAACGCGATCCTCGTCTACGAAACCCATGGTGAGGTTCGGTCTCTATTCAGTCGTTCTTCTAACGAAGAGTCGGAAAGAATAGAAAGCGACAACCAAGCTGACACAACTGAAGTAAGGCTGACCAAAAAACGAACCGCACGACGGTTGAGATATACCAAAGCCGACCGATCCCTGTGACCATGACGCTACATGCACTACAACGCGTAGTCATCCGTCGCTGCCATAGCGGCAGCAGCTCGCCAAAGCATATCCGACGCCATGTATGCAGAGCTGTCAAGAAGACTTGCCAAAAGCGTTTGACAATTCTAGCCGACTAACCGCGAGGCCCTAGAAACCAGATTGTCGTGTTCCACAGCATCTGTCATTCCATTGAGGCGTCTTTGCAGATATTGCCGACATGCAAAAAGTGATCACGCCTTCTGTGAGAAGGGCAAACTTCCATGATTGGGGTTGGATATGCTTTAGCGTGATGCAGCGTGGGCGCCCCGCCTGCCCGCATGTTGACCCCGCGCAGGTTTCCACAGTTGGGGCTAGCGAATGAGCGTATGGCCGATGTATGCGACTCGCGCATGGCAATGGCATGATCAGGCTTGAATCGTGAGCGTAGCACAGTAAGCAAGACGAGTTGCATTGTATCGATGGAGACTGGTCCGGACGTGGTCGCCTATAGCGTGGTCACAGTGCCACACGCACTCGTGCTTCTGTTGTGCTCGGTCTGACAATCTTGACAGCTTCGTGGGTACCTAGGTATCAAGCTCGCATGTGACATATCCGTGCAACCTGAGAGGCAGTCTGCGTCGTCACCACTTTCAGGGGATATTGTGTGTCGTGAAGCTCGATGTGGTAGTTTTGACAACTAGTTGGCTATAGACGGGTGCGACACGCGCGGGTCATGTTTCTTGTGGTGCGACGGGCGGTGTTATGACCCCTAGGCCACTGGCAGCTTTGATAGCATCGAACCAGATGTTTCCCATGTGAAAGTATCCGGAATAGGACCTGATTCGATTAGCAAACGTGCTTTCAAGCCACAGGTAACCGGAACACCCACGGATGCAGCCCGTCAACTAACTCCTCGGGCAGGACGACGCTGTGGTCGACAACCGCAACCTTGAAGCCCTGATCGAGCTTCTTCTTCGCAACCGCAGGCACGGCATCATTGAACCTCTTGATGTTTTCCTGCGCCTGCATATCCGCCCCCTGTATGATCTTCGCGACCAGCACCGCGGCGTCCGGGCACACGTCCAGCACGTCGTCCAGCAGCGCTGCTAAACGCTTCGGCGCATCTGCCCACTTCTCTTCTGCGGTTTCGGGTCGAGCCATATCGTTCGTGCCAACATGCAACAAGACCACATTCGGTCGCATCTGAAGTCCAGCTTTCATCAAGCCCTGAAGCTCGCTGATTGTGGCCCCTGGGTGCCCCTCGTTGTCATTGTTGGGCATGAGTCCAGAGCGCTGCGTGCCGACAAAGTTCACCGACGCGTAGCGCGCACGTATAAGCGCGTGGATTAGTTGTGCGCGGTATCCATCTGTCCCGTTGTCTGCACCCGGCTGGCCACCCCAAGTTATCGAGTCGCCGAGCGGAAGTATGCGTAGTGGGAGGTTGAGGTTCGCGCCTGGTCGTTTGTGGGGGAAGCTTGACATCAGCAGCAGGATTACTATGGAGATGTTAGCACCATACAATGAAGACCCAGGTGTCCAACATGGGCAGCATCTTGGAGTGCCAATGCGACAACTGTAGTTGAGTCTAACGCGCCCGGAACCTTGGAACGCTGGCGCGACGCACCTATGCAGAAAAAGGCCACTACACCCAGGCCCTTCAAAACCACCTTGTTTCGCAGACCTCCCGCAGATGGGAGCATCGGAGAATATCGAGACTGTTCATCAGTCGTCTAGATGGTGCTGCTTCAATGGCATTGTGGGGGCGCAGCAAACAGGAGTCCGACTGAGACCGATGGCTAGCGTCATAGCTCTAGCAATTGACCGATCTTGCGCTATTTATAAGCAGTGAGACTTTGGCTGAGAGTCGCGCATATCAAACAGGAATATATTGAAACTCTGGGTTGTGTTCGCCAATGGGGATGGCGCGGGGGCCCGGGCAGCCACGAGCTTGGAAGGCCCACTTGCCAGACCCTTAAGGTCCCCTATACACTTACAGCACGCACGCTCTTCCAAGGTTTCCTTCACGGCATCAGGGTATCACTTTCGCATTCCTCATGCGATCGAACGCAGTCGTCCATGTTTCCTTCGTCCCAATCTCCTCCGTGTATCCCACCTTGTGCGAAGCTTCCATGCTCATCTGGCGGTCGAAATCGAACATCGTCATGATGAAGTACTAATACTGGTCAGCTACTGCATGCGTACACGACGCAACCAGATTTCCGACATACCTGGAATCCGGGATGCGTGATATCGCTATCGACGCTTCCCTTCTTAAGATTGTGCTTCTTCTCCAGCTCCTCCCACTGCTTCTTATGTGCGTCAATGTACGCGCCTGGCTGTGGTGAACCCTCTTCAGGTCCGGTACCCTTCAGACCGAAGTAATCACAAATTACCGGCCACTTGCCGCTCCAGCTGTCTTCTTGACCGCCCACGTTGAAGCTTTGCGACGCGGTTTTCTCTGGGTTCAAAGACGCGTGGATGGAAAAGTGCGCAACCATATCTTGAGGAGACTCATTGTACTTGTTCACCCACGACTTCTCGGTACCAGGGAATGGGCACTTTGCGCCCTCGCCCTCAACCGATCGATATAGCGAAAGGTACAACGCCAATGTTTGCGCAAGGCAATATGCGTTATTATTCGGCACGAAACCGATGATGTTGTCTGGCCGGACCTCGCACCAGCTCCAGTTCTTTCCTTTGGAGATGCGTTTTAAGCAATCAATCTGGTTGTAGTAGAAAAGCTGGGAAAGGTACGGTTCGGGGATCGGTGGAAGTGTTTCCTTGAGCGGTAGGTCGTTCGCGAATGGGAACTTGTCTAACATCTGGCAACCGTAGATCTTGGTTCCCGTCGGAAGCAGTACGTATGATAGTTTGGAGGACAAGTGATCAATCGCAGTCACGGCGCGCTCCAACATTGCTTCGTTGGTTTTGCACTCGGCTTCTGGTTCATCGATCTGCTTGTATGCTCGGTCATGTCAGACCCTGTGATTTCTTCTAACAGTTGTTACTTACAATAGAAGTACACTTGAGTCACGGTCTCAACATCTTTGACCTTTTCTTTGATCTGCTTCTCGAGCTCTTCTTGTGTCCCCTTGACCAGATCGACACCGGACACGATTTGCAGTCTTGGGTCGTCAGGCCAGAGAGCCATCTCACGTGTCAGCGGCCGATTGACCATAGCTGTAACCCTGGAGAAGGCATCCTTGGAAGGGTATCCGTTCAAGATGGCATTGACGATGGCCCATCCCGAGATGCCAGAAGCACCGTAAATCAGCGCATGGTTTCCCATGATCTAGGTATGAGTTATATGTCAATAGAGAGTATCCAAGGGTATGCGCAGTGTAAGGCTGGAAGCAATAACGCGACGCGTGAGGGCCGCATCTTGGTATTTGTATCTTAGACCTATACTACCACATCGGAATCAGCCCGCATCTCCTTAGTATACTATCATTGGATGAGCCAGCTATGCTGCTGCATGCAAGTACCTGCTGCTTGAAACAGCCTGGGCTGAGGAAGCTCATGCGGAGAACAATATCCAACAGGTGCCTGACGAGCTCTTTCCCCGCAGCGTCATCCGCCATGACTCGCTTTCTGACGACCCTTCGGCTACAGTCCCGGCGACTTGGAATAATGAACATGACTCATACAACACATACTCATGTGCGATGAAGGCATTCCAGATGGACGAGCGTCGCAACGGGCTTGAGGCATCGTGAGCTTTGGTGGCAGAGGGAAAGTGCTAATGAGGCTAGCGCGTCGGGACCCTCGATCGGTGCTTCTCGTCTTCCAAGGCTGGGAATTCCTCTGTCACCACCATTATCTGGTCGCAGTGTCCTTGACCTCAATAATATCGCAGCGATGCGAGTAATTTATCGGTCAGACTTCAAAGTACGCGTAAGTATGAACAGGTGTTGCTGTACATCAGGCTCGCAAAGGCTTTCCGCACTGCAAGCCGTCCGCCTCCGCATTTGGTACCTTTGAAGCATCGCGTTTTCGAGAAACCCAATGGTCATTTCCAACCAACTCTTCATCAGTAGTTCCAGGTTCGTGCAAGATCCCTGCGATTTAATTGAAGGATGTTATTGGCAGAGTATATGCCATCTTGGTCACTTCTTCAATGTATGCCATACATCTATCAGGCCTGATGTCTCATGGTTACCTTGATACTACTACGTCATGGTTGAGCTTTACCTTTACTTTACCGCCCCTTCTTCGCAGCTGCCAGTATGTTGTCGTCGAATGACTTACGGTGTCCTTTCGCTGCATTTCTTTACCGCTTCTCGACCAACATCTAGCTTTACCTGAGTAGCACTCCGAACTATAAAGTGACAATCTCCACAGGTCTCCTACACAGCTTATTTCAATTACATTGCAACATTCAATCATCCCCGGGACCTTAATCCGAATCTGGGAACTCAGTATGGCATTAAAGAAGCAAATCTCAACAGACTCGCTGGGCAAAACCAAAAGCAGAATTGCGACTACACCAGTAGATCGTCTGCGAGTAGCGGTACGTAACCTGATCAGAGTGTTCACTGCCAGGTAAGATGGCTGACGTGACTACGTAGAAGCAACAACTCCCGTGCTCCAACAACGCGCAAACAAAGTTGCATACCATGTTCGAGGAAATGATGCAAGAGCTTGAAGATACAAAGAACAAACTTGAGACAACTGAGGAAGAGCTAGAATCTACTAAGAATGAACTGGAATCGACTCAGAATGAGCTGAACGAGACCAGGGAAGAGCTGGAGTCAAGTCAGGACGAACTGAACACGACAAAGGATGAGCTGGACGAGACCAAAGAAGAGCTGAGTGCGGCAAACCTTCTAGCTCAAAACAACCATAACTCCTGGAAGACCGCACACGACGACCTCCGACGGACCAAGAGCAAATTGAAGTCGCAGAAGCAGACAAACGATGACCTAGAAAACCAATTGGCGTTCGAGAGAAGGAAGGCAAAGAAGAACGATGCTGCCCAGAAAAAGCTCGAGCAGCTCAAGAGCCAGTGGTCGTCACTTTCACATATGCTCGGTAATGAAGACACCAAACTCTAGGTGGGCGGCATGTTGAGTGTTAGCGGGTTTACTCATTGGCTCCAGGAACATTGATTGATATGGAGTGAAGGATTACAACCGAGTTTGTGTTTTGCGACTGTGTTTTTGGGATTGTTTTCTTTTTGCGTCATACTGAACCCTGACGCTAACTGCTGTATCCTACTTTAATGGTTACAATGCTACAGGAGATAGGTAGTAGGTAACCAACCCTACAAGTTGTGTCTTTTTTGCAAATAGAGTTTGAATGCACTAAGACAGTACAATTGAGAAATTTGCTCCTCTCCTCGTGCCACATCTTAGTGCAGATTACACCAATATCCCCTCGCCTCCGTGATAGACACCCCGGTGATACTCCTGTCTTTCAACTTCCCCGCATCACATGTATCCCACCTACATTCCCGTTAGCCCAGTCTACCTTGCTACATCTTCTACGCAACAGGACCTACTGCGAGAAGTCACACCCACACGCCTCAGACACCGTCGCTGACAGCGCTTTGCCAGTGATTCCATAGCAAGCGTCACCGTAGATGACTTGGGTCTTGCCGCCTTGCAGGTAGATGGTGCCGCAAATGGGAGGCCCGGGTGCAGTGGGCGCTGCAGTTGCTGAGATGGCGAGAGTTGAAAGGAACGTAAGAGTAGTAAGGTGCATGTTGAAAAGGTTGCAAGCGGAGGAACCTTGCTTGGATCGGCTTTTCTAGTTCCTAGGCGACTACGGGGAAGGTGGACCTTCTTGGAATGGAGAACTTCTTTGCATAGACGTAGTATTTATGTGAAACCGATCTCGGCGTTTACATGCGGTGTGATATGTGACGTGTGGGGGCCGATGTAAGATCTCGCCTTCGAATCATATGCGGGTGCTATATGACAAGGTACGTATGTGAACGGGCGTCTTCGGTGGCGCATAACGTGGATTGACAAAGAACTCTGACCTGCATGGTCTGCATGTAAGCGCGTAACTCGTTAGTCACAAGCACGAGTGAGATCACCATCGAGACCAATCGTGGAGTATACATTTCATTTTGTTCCTTTGTACTTCTAACCAACCCAGTCGATCTCCTTCTCGTACTGCCAGAAAGCACCTGTCTTGTTCTGGATGTCGTGGATCGCGAGCATCACGGGGGTTTGAGCGCCTTCTTCTACAGTCCTCGTTCCGTTGCCTAGATTTGGTGTATAGAGTCAGTACATGTCTCACATGATGCACACGAGGGAAGGTTTGCTTACCCTTTGTCATGTCTGTGTTGACATAACCTGGGCAGCAGGTATTGATCAATACCTTGCTTCCCTTCTCCTTCTCTTGTCTGGCCAGCGCCCGTGTGCCTCCAATTAATCCTGCCTTGCTCACAGCATACCCGGCACTTGGGAAGCCAGCGTCCTTCTCCTTGCCAGCTTCGACAGCAGCAACAAAGTCCTTCATGATGCTTGTGACATCTTCTTCGGTCTTGGAGGCGAGGAAGCGGTTGCGAACCTCTTCGGAGTATTTGTTGAGCTTGCCAGCCATGCTGCCGAGGTTCACGATGCGACCGGTGGGCTTGAGGAGGGGGAGGAAGGTGTGGCACGCCTCGAGCGTCTTGTAGTAGTTGCAGTCGAGGGTTGTTTTGACGAGGTCGGCATCTAGCTATGTTAGGGACGGCGGATTGTACATTGGAAGGAGATACTTACTGAAGCCGTCCAACGCGATACCAGCGTTGTTGATGACAAAGTCAATGCCGTCCCCATGAGCCTGCTTCAAGTGGTCCGCAAGGGTCTTGATGCTGCTGCTGCTTGTGATGTCAAGCAGATGGAACTTGATCTCAGAGAGACCACCATCGGCCTTCAATGCCTTTGCCTGCTTCAATGCCGCATCTTGCTCCAAGTCTTTGACGGCAGCTTCTCCTCTGCCCTGGTCGCGAGCCGTCAGATAAATCAGAAAGGGTCCGTTGTTGAGCGGCGACTTGGGGTATTGCAAAGCGAGCTGCTGAACAATGGCGCGTCCGATACCCTGCAGATGTCAGTCTGGTACTTGCGGAGGGGTGGTGGACGCGTATAGGTACCTTGTTGGCGCCGGTGACGACTCCTACTCTGCTGTATGACATGATTGTTCGTGTACTTCAGTTGATCGGTGTTTGGTGGAAGGGAGAGGGGATCGTGATATCTTAAGGTGATTTCCCCACATTGTCCCATTAATCATCATCGAAAGAGCTTCGCTGTTCGGAGTTAACAAGGTCGATACGTCACTAATCATCGGTGGATCCAGATGTCCCGGCCACCTGCGGGCATCGTGCGGCACCAAAGACGCTATTCCGGATAAGGCTAACACTGCCGCGGCCACGCTCTCTCGATTTCGATGTCTTTGCCTGCGGATGTTCACTACACCACATGAACCACCTCGGCATCCTTGATTACTGATTGGACCGAGCCTTGACAAACTTTCCATCAACTCCATGGTTTTCTACGGCGCCTTTGTCATTCCTAGCAACTTGCATACACAGCCATCAACCATCCTTCGTAACCTCTAACACAGACACGGTAGATGGATCGTCTGGTAATTGCTGCATGTCCTTCCACTAGGCGTATCGCTCCCCGTCTGCAAGTACAAATCGTAGTAACTCGCTTCAGCCGATTTGCATACGAGGAAGTTCAGCTCTAGGCTGGGTGTTAGCACCGCCGACAATGAGCCGAACATGCCTCCTTCCTGAGTACTTACGTCGTCCATAGCTACTGCTCTGCACAGTAATGATAGTATCACCCTCCAATCCCCACGCCGTAGTCTCCCTAGTGGCTCCCCAGACCAACGGCTTGTAGCTTGTCGATGCGGTCGCAATGTTCAGATACTGGCTTGTCTTTTTCGATTGGATAGTGCCGCCGATGGTAAATTCGTCAGCTGCGGTTTCGGGTCCCAGCACAGGGATCGATGCTATACGCGTTGTTAATAAGCTTCTGGAAAAGTACCTCGGTAGTAAAGCTGGATGTTAAGAGAAGGAAATCAGCATACCATTCTTAGCGCTTGCTTGCAAGTATAGATGGTAAATTGGGTCGCGAACGCCACGTATTTTGCCTACAGTTGCTGCGGCGCTCTGGGCATTCTCCACCGGCGCAGCGAGTGCGCCCAATGCTACCAACAAAATTTGAGCGAAGAACGACAACATCGCGAAGAAGAACCTGAAGCCCCAATATGCAAGACTGCGACTTGATTCAGTCCCCGGGTCTCTTTATATGTGATCGCAACTTCGCATTACGTGACCCCAGTCTGCAATATAGCAGATTAATTACGGTCGCGTCACGCGTAGAGATGTTTACCACCGGATATAACGCATCTGCATCCCTGTCGTTCTACATCCGTCGCAAGGAACCACCGAGACAGGCACTACATTGTGCATTCGCTACTGTCTTGCCCGGACTAAAAAAGTCAGGACGCGATACTGAAGGAACGCGCTAACGCTTTGGGTTAGTGCGGAACGCGACTGCCGTTTACTTGGCATTCAGGCAGTCGCCTCCCGTCTCACCTGCAACACACCTACCATCATCGACTCAAACTCTTGTCCCGTAGTCTCGGGCTGTACGGTCGTACCCACTGGCTTTGATGATAACGAACGTTCATGATGGTCGGGCTTACAACAATCACGTCGCCCACGTCATGTGGCACGACTAGCAGCAGCTATGATCATCGAGCCGCACGCGAGAACATGGACAAATCAACTGATCACCAAATGAACGACCGTGACGATGCTATATCCATATCTTCGTCTTCGGAGCGAGCCTCTGCTGCTACTGGATCATCTACGCCCGCTACCCCAGGATTCTTATCAGCTCCCGAAAACGTGGAGTGTGTTGAGACTGGTGCACAGAACATGGATCGGTACATCGCACTTGGCTGCCTTCACTTCAAACACACATTCGATTTTAGTTCAATCTCACCGTCGAGAGGCGATTGGGTCGAGTTACTGCACCAAGAGCTTACCGACGAGATCAAGGCCAACATCGGCGTTGAAGCATCACGACTGCTTGAAGCTCACTGGATTCGGATGTTTGCGCGTAAAGGAACGTCTGGTAATGCGTCTCATCACGGCCTTGTTCGCGTCTATCTCTTGCCAGAAGACTGGGGTCGTCGTACGATTGACCGTAACAGCAAGAGCTTGAAGAACGCTTTGCGGACACTGCTTCAACAAATTGATATCTCATCGAGTGCTTGGAATGGAGACTCAAATCCTGATGAGACTCGTTACTTTGATCCCTGGGCTGATGTAGAACCTGTTTCGCTATACTACCTTTTCAACAAGCTACCATCACCTGCGCCAGACGTGGCAAAGATCAAGTGTCGCTATACACGTGCCGCCGTACAAGATGCGCTAGATTCTGCGGCAGTCTCAGAGTGGTCGGAGCATGGTGAACAGGCTCTACCGGGGCTCAAAACCAGATTGTACGCGTATCAGACACGGTCGGCGAGCTTGATGCTGCAACGGGAAGCTTCGCCACAGCTGCAGCTTGATCCAAGATTGGAGGTCCGTATCTCGCCTGATGGCAAGAATTTCTACTTCGGGCCTCGAGATGGATCGTTTCTACAAGAGCCGCGCTACTACGAATTGAACCGGGGTGGTATTCTGGCAGAGACCATGGGCTTGGGGAAAACGGTAATTTGCTTGGCCGTTATTTTGGCAAGTAAGGGCCATCTTCCCAAGATTCCAGTCGCATACCGACCATTACCTCCTCTCCGCAAGCGACCTGGGTCGTTGGCAGACATGGCCATCTCTTCCGCTGGCCGACATTCAATTCCAATGAAATCCTTCCTCGAGCAGTCTGAGGCGAATGGGGCTGGAGACATGAAAAGCATCAAAGATGCGCTGGATCGAGACGTTCCATTCTACGAGATACCACCAGATATTCCACGCATGAATAGGAACACCCGAATACCGCCCACACGTCAATTGGTCCTCTCTTCCGCTACTATCATTGTTGTACCGCGAAACTTACTACACCAATGGCAGTCGGAAATACAAAAGCACGTCCTTCCAGGTGGCCTCAGGATTCTCGTCGTTGACTCTGTGTCCAAGCGCGCCAGTAAGACGAAGATCACCCATCCCACTGACGAGACTATGTATTTTCGAAGCGAACTACCCGCTCCCACTGAACTCATGAAGTTTGATGTGGTTCTGTTCACTCGCAACCGCTTCGAACAAGAGATCCAAGACGGTCAGGATGAACAAGGACGACGCATGGGTTCTGGGGCCTCTCGCGTTTGTAACTGTCCTTACATCGGAGCAACCCGCATTCCAGATTGCAGTTGCGTTGACACCGATAGAGTGTACGAATCGCCGCTGAAGAATATACACTGGCTACGGATCATTATCGATGAAGGACACTCTTTCTCGAGCTCTGTCTCCAATGCTGTACTTGTCGCTAAGCAGATACAAGCGGAGAGACGCTGGGTCGTATCAGGAAGTGAGTCGTGCAAATTGTGACATATATACATACGCTGACGTTGGTTCAAAGCACCTGCGAAAAGTTTGGTCGGTGTGGAGGTAGACATGTCCACCGCCGATCCGGAGACCCACCCGGCATTGCAGCGCGAACTTGCCATTGAAAAGAGAAAGACGTTCAATAATGATGCAGAGAATGCCAAAGCTGCTAAAGCTTTGGGTATGCTTGCTTCACGTTTCCTCATGGTTCGACCATGGTGCGAGAACTCCGAAGGTAAGCTCGACTGGGATGAATACGTTTATCGCCACGAGCACCAGTACAAAAAGACTTATTCCGGGTTTTCTTCATGCTTCGTCCGAGCATTGGAAGGACTAGTTGTGAAGACACGCCCAGAGGATGTTGAGAAGGACATTGTCTTACCGCCGATGCGACACAGAACTGTTTACCTCAAGCCATGTTGGTTTGATAAGATGACGGCCAATCTCTTCATCCAAGTTCTGCGAGCAAACGCTATCACGAGCGAGCGGACCGATGTCGACTATCTATTTCACAAGAACAGCGTGAAAGCTCGTCACAGTCTCATCAGAAATTTACGGCAGTCCAACTTTACCTGGACAGGTTTCAGCCTCTCAGATGTAGTCGCCACGCTTGAAACTAGCAGTAAGTACCTTTCCAAAGAGAACAAGAACTGCTCGCTCGAGGACGCGCAATCCCTCCTGGAGAGCAGTCAAATCGTGTCGAAGCTTACGGCTTCCGCTGAATGGATTGCATTGAGTACATCTCATGAATTGGGTATGGCTGTCAACAGCTGGCCAGAAGCGGCGCGGGAGGCTTTTGCACTTGTTTACCCGGCGGAGCCCATCGTGGTTGGTGTTACGCAGCTCATTGAGGGCCAACTCCACGTCGATAGCAGCATCCGGTCTTCCGATCCAACGTTCGGGCTGGATGCTGTTGGATATGCAGCAAAAGCAAAGGCCATTGCGATGGCAGAGGAAGAGGGCAAGCTCAAAGCGTCCAGCGAAGGCACAGTCAATGGCTTGCCGCTGCAGAGGACAGGAGTGCCTACTTCGCTGGTAAAGGGTCAACAGCCATCGACTAGTCGTCGAACATCAGCCATCGCGAGCAAAGCCTCTCCTAAGAAGTCACCAGGATCCAACGATGCGAATGGCGTTGAAGACACCCTGGACATCGCATCACCCGTTCGCACAAAGAAGCGAAAACTTACCTTCGCAGACGAGACGGCGGACCTTCCCGCAAACTCCGATCTCCGAAACACACGCTGCATTGGCACAACATCGGCCAAACTTACATATCTCCTGGATAAGGTGATGCAGCATCAAGAGAAAGAGAAGATCATCATCTTCTACGATGGTGACAACGCGGCGTTTTACATCGCCCAATGCCTTGAGTTGATGTATGTGAATCATCGCATCTACGCGAGAACCCTAAACAACGTACTACGATCAGAGTACGTACGACTGTTCAACGAAGATCCAGATGTGCGAGTCTTGCTCATCGATGTCGCGTGCGGTGCGCTTGGACTAAACCTCAATGCGGCGAGCGTCGTACTGATTGTAAACCCGATCAACAGACCGAACATCGAAGCGCAAGCCATCAAACGAGCCCATCGCATTGGACAAACAAAAGAGGTACTCGTCGAGACCCTAGTCCTCGAGAACACAATTGAGCACGCGATCTTCAATCGCGCGAAGAAAATGTCTCGTGCCGATCATCAAGAAGCGAAAGAGCTTGAAGACGACGCTGGCATCATCGAGATCATCCAGAATGCTCAGATCCTGCCTGTGGGTGATGACGAGGGCGAGGGCTTATCCAGCTTTGCGCTACTGCAGACACCGCAGCAGGTGTTTGGGCGACCGAATCGGCACAAGTACCATCGGTATGGAGGCGCTGATAAGAAGACTAAGGATGGACCGCAGAAGAAGGCGAAGACTTCGAAGGGTGCGAAGAAGGACGAGAACGAGGATGCGGATGGTACCAATAGCACGACTGCACCTTCAACGCCTGGTACTGGCTTGCCGGTGCGAGGACCTGCTCAGAATGGCGACTTGAATGCTGCCGGTGCAGCATCGTCCCGACCAGTCGCCAGCATCTTTGGCAGCGGTTGAGACATGAAGATCTTACCCATACAGCTCTGGAGTTATACCACGGCACACATTCCATTTCTATTTCTATATTGAACAGCGGGCTCGCCCAATCGACTTCCTTCACACTCGGTTTGGAAGTTACTTTGCATGTACTATACCCGTGAGACCTGGCTTCGGCCTTGCTTAGTTTTGCTTCAGTACCCCGAATGGAATCAGCGTATGACAATATACAATTCATTCATACAACATGCTATCGTCCTTCTAATGCCTTGACTTTTGGTGAAATATGTACAACGCTACCTATCTACAACGCCGATGAACGCCATGCTAACCATGGTATGCATTACCGCATCTCCTGCTGACCGTCTGTGCCCTCAACATCCTCATGCTTGACCCATACGCTCTCCATCGCTTGTCCTAAGATCTGCATGCCCTCCTCGATCTCCGCTTCGGTAATCACGAGTGGGGGAACGAATCTCAGGGTGTTTGTACCGCATGTGATGATCAACAGACCTCTCTCACGAGCAGCAGTAACGATGGGCGTAGGATCGACATCAAGCTGAAGACCCAAGATCAGACCCTTGCCTCTGACCTCCTTGATCTGGCTGGAGAAGCGCTGTCGGAGAGCGTCGAAGTGCTTGCGGAATGCTTGCTCCTTGGCGGGTATCGAGTCAAGAATCTCTGGCGATGACAGGCGGGACAGGATGTATGAAGCGACGCGGGATCCGAGGGGGTTGCCGCCAAAGGTGGTGCCGTGATCACCAGTCTTGATGTTGTCACAGACGAAGTCGTTGACGATAGTCGCGCCAATGGGGAATCCGTTGCCGAGTGCTTTGGCTGTGGTTACAATGTCGGGATGGCATTCCTTGGGGTAGCCGCCGTGTGCCCAGAAAGTACCTGTCCGGCCTAGACCGCACTGTATCTCGTCGAAGATCAAGACAGCACCGACTTCCGTGCACCTCTTTCGGAGCGCGAGAAGGAACTCGGGTGTCGCAACGTTCACACCACCCTCTCCCTGGATTGGCTCCACGATGACACCGCACGTCGCGTCAGTAACCAGGTCGTTGACTGCTTCCACGTCATTGAATGTGCCGTACTTGAAACCGGGCACCATCGGTGAGAACGGTGTCTGGTACTTGGGGTTCGGTGTCGCACTCAAACTGCCCATGGTCCGGCCGTGGAATGAGTTGTGGAACGAAACGAATTCATGCTTCTCCTTGTCCGGTGACATTGACTTCCCGACCTTGCGCGCGAACTTGATGGCGGCCTCGTTGGCCTCGGAACCACTGTTGCATATGAATGTGCGAGTGGCGCTGGCGAAGCCTCCGGTCGCGTGCGTGAGCTGGATCAGCTGCTTCGATAGCAGGCCTGTGTGCGGGTTGTGGTAGAGGTTCGAGGTGTGCATGAGCTGCCTGGCCTAGGAGGGAGTCAGTAAGCCACAATCGATGCAGTGGTGACGGACGTACCTGTTCTCCAATGACCTGCGCTACGCCAGGGTCGCAGTGCCCCAGCGCATTGACGGCGATACCAGCTGTGAAGTCGAGGTACTTTCTGTTCTCAATATCCCACATCCAGCACCCCTCTCCCTTCTCGAACATCGGTGGTGGGCGGACATAGGTCGGGACCATGTACGGTAATTGCTGGTTGACGAGGCCGGCTGTCTTGGAGGATGAGGGCGGGTCGGGTGTAGGTAGTGTGGAGTCGCGCTATAGAGTGTCATTATGGAGGGCGCTGTAGAGCGTGTGTAGGTTGGTACTCACGGCTATGGCGTCCTTCACGTCCTGTGGTAGACTGGACCCCCTAACCGCAGAGGCTGCGGAAGCAAACCGCGCGGGGACGTAATTGATGCGAGATGGGCGCAATGTAGCGCATACGCGCTGCGAAGCCATTCGTGAAGCCATGATCATTTGCAAAATTTAGGAAAACGAACTCCAGAGCCTCATCAGATGCGTCAATCGTGACTGTTGGGCGTGACGCAACTGCCCAAAATTTTAGCGTGCATGATAAGATAGGCCGAGGTCGGAGAGTCGGAGTGCCTCGTACAAGGTGTAATTCAACAGGTGCTCTGCAGACTACATCAAGATGAGAACAACCATTTCGCAAGATTTTAAGGCAATGTAGACTTCTGGGTTATGTACTCAAATGTGTGCCCAGTCTTTTTGGTAGCATAGGATGGGAAGGGTGGGGTGGTAGGGATGTTTGGGTCGGTGGAGGGTGAAATGACAGGGATGTTTGGGTCAACGGAGGAAGGAGCGAGCGCAACAACGGCAGGAGCGACCGGTGAGCGGTGAGCAATGAGCGGTGAAATATGAATGGCCTAATCGGGCCAAAGGAGAAGAACAAAGCCTCCTTGGTGTAGTTGGTTATCACGTGGGTCTCATATCTACACATATGACTGTTCGACAGAGCAGATATCCCGAGGTCGGCAGTTCGATCCTGCCAGGGGGCAAACTTTTTGCCAGATGCCCGGCTTTTTGCTGTTACCAGTGTCGTAGACTCGCTACGTATACTCATGTTTTTGGAGATCGAAATTAGCCGACATGTTTTTTGGTTGACAGTTCAATGCTTTTTGGCTTCATGTGCAGGCCGGTGTGTGGCAGAACAATTAAGCTGGGAGTAACATACATAGTTCTAATCTACTAGCTGGTTATAGCAGGGCCTTCACAAATACAAGGCATTACCGCGAACAAAAGACACAGTTAGTGTCGTGAAAGAACCCAGGCCGCCGGGCACTGAGCGGTAGGCATGGAAAAGCCGTAGTCTCTCATCCAAGCATCTGCCTTCTCTTCCACGTAGTTCATCTGTGGCACGTCTCACGCAGCTTAAGCATCGTGCGTACCTACTACAACAAAACGCTACAAGAACGACCAGTGTAACAACAGAGAACCTAGAAGCCTACATCGCTGTTGCAAGTTCTCAGTTCCTTGCTTCTGCGCTGTTGTAGGCTGCAGAGTAAAGGCAGAATACGCCACCATGAAGTCTCAGTCACTACTTCCTACACAATCTGCGCCGTTCCGTCTCCCATGCGCATACTTCACGCATACAGAAATTTCGAGACATGCTGGCGTCTGGGACTCTTGGGAAGAGTCGCTCCAACCTGCAAGTATGTGAAAGCCAGTATAGACCTCAGTTCCATAGGCCGTCGTATGACGCGATGAGCGGCCGAACGTTCAACATGTGCATCTGCTACTCGATCACAACAAGGACTATATCGTAGCCATTGGTATCCAACGACTTGGGCAACCAACACCAAGGTCTGTTTCGATATCGTCAACGTCCGTGATCATTGTATGAGGTCACGAACAGTCGGAACCCTCCGCGCGTTTTGAATGCTTGAGCTGTAAGTGACCGTGCGGCCTCTGAGATCGGATCATTGAGACAGACGCAGATGCACGAGAGGAGGGCATTTGCGACTCGCTCGTAAAAGGACATCAGGCGCTTCTTCCGCAACAGCCCAAACCCGCGTCCGAGATGCAGCAGCGTTTGTTGGAAACAGAGAACTAGACAGGTCTGCAGACTACAGCATGATATAAGAAGCAAATTGGAGGATCTGACGAAGATGTAGGCTCCTGGGTGTTTGGTTTTCTCCTTGTATTAGATGACGCTCTCGACAATACTCTTCGGAGATGTGATGGAGTTGTAGGGCGAAGAGAGGTCGTGCTGGTTCGTTGGAAAGTAGTGCGAGCTGAGATCCTGAATGGTCGCGGTTGCTGTGTTGCGCTAGCTGGTTGGGGCACAAGCTTCCCTCGACGCGTCCGTCCGTCGCACCCCGCTGCCTGTTCACCCTCTGCCATCACTTCTACCCTCTTTCTTCCCAAGCGGACCCTGTAATGTCACAAAAAGCGGCGAGCTTTTGGGAGTTTATCAGAATCTTCAAGATGCAGACAGCATGGGTTCGCCAGACGCGTCGCGATACCACAAAACGCCATTCACGTGCGATCGTGAGAGTTTCGCGTTGTTCAGGGGTCTCGGAGCGATGACGAAGCTCCTTGATGTCATGATCCCACGAACACCCGGATGAACCTCATCAATCCACACCTCCAATCCATCAAGATCATCGATTAACTATCTACTCCCATCAAATACATATCATTGAGCACCTGTCCCGTCTCATATCCCACGTGAAAATGCCTCCGGCGAAGAAACAGAAGACCGCGCGCGATTCCGGCGTCTTCCTAGAAGATTCGGGCAGCGAGAGCTCGGATTCCGCCTTCGAGTCGGTGCGCCCCAACAAGAACGACAAGCAGAAGAAAAATAAGCAGAACAGCAGCACGGGCAAGCCCGCTGATCCAGCACCTTACGATTACGTTTGCATACCGCATCCTTTCTTCGACATTGAAGGCCGGAATTATCTGAACTGGACATTGGACCCGGACGCCTTCATTTCCTCAAAATCCGAGATCTTCAGCAAGCTCTACAAGCCCATCGACGATCAATTCAGAAAAGATGGCCTCTTTAAAGCACCGGCGAGCAAACATCCGGAGCACAAATGGGTCATGTTGTGGGATGCGTGGCTCAAGGCGGATCTACTAGGAAGGAAGGCGAAGTACTGCGACCCAGACGCTTTTGAGATGAACTTGTATACAGACTGGCAAGGATGGGGAATGCAAGAAATTATGGAGAATATGGTAAGTGCAATGGTCAGCTGCGCGTGATAGCTGGAAGCTAACAGCGCAAAGATGGTCGAATTCAATCAAGGCTTCCATGCCAAGAAGGACCGGATCGAGAAAATGTGGTCGGTCATCAGCGCAGTAGGACTGTGGCTGAATGAAAACGAGCACATCACGGCGCTCATCAACAACGAAGACGGCGACACAACCTACGAAATGATCGGCTTAATGGGCTGCGCACTACTCACCGTGCTTGCGGCCATTGAAGCAGCAGGCGAGCTCAAGCCAGATTCCCGCTTCCTTGACTTGGCAATCGTCATTGCGTATTATCTAGAGCTATCGCACGATCTCCCTGCTTTCGGCATCGAAGGGCAGTGTGTATCATGGCGCAAGGAAGCCGTCAATTACTTCAAGAAGGGCAACCTCGACCCTGAGAAGGGAATCTTTGCGACGAAACTCCGCCTGGACAAACTGGCAAAGGTCGGCGACGTCGATGATGACTTCGCGCACACCAACGGAGAGGTCGAGAAGATCATGACTGGGACAACGACTCTTGAGAAGATTGAGGCTGAGAGGGCTGCTAAAGACTCTGTTGGCAGCTCGGCGGAGAACCCAGTCACAATTCCAGAAGACGACGACGCCGATAAAGAGAATGCAAACCCGAAAGCCACAGGTGAGAAACATGTCTCTCCGCCGCCAACAGGCAACGGCAAGAGGAAGAGGGGTCCGGACAATGTCGAAAACATAAGCAATTCGAAACAAGCGGATAAAGACCCATGGCACTGGAACGACAAGTTTAACGCGTACAAAGACAAGCGTCATCCCAAGATGGGCGGTGAACACTACGATATTACCAAAATGAGCAGGTCAGACCGAGCGGCTGCGTCGTTTACCGGCAAAGATCCCCTTGCCGATGTTCCAGTGAAGGATCTACAAGCGAATCTACTGGATCTCATTTGAGATGGAAATATGTATAGAAGGGGCTGTAAAAGTAGGGGCTTGTGTGAAGAAGGTGTACATGATCTGTTAGACGCGATTACCAATTCGATTTTGTAGCATCCCAAACGCTATTGCACACACCCTCTACTGTCTACAGGCCAAATCTCCTCGATGATGCCCTTCCGATACGCATAGTAAACATTGTGCAGGTTCACCGTCGGGTCAATATGACTAGGCACCATCTCGACCCTATCGCCAATCTTCAACTCTTTATCCTTGCCTTCCTCCCAAGCGAGACTACCATGCTCATCTCCCAGAACCCCATACGTATACCCCGGCGTCTTGCACTCCGCCAACCCAGAATCCGTCGTCAACGACTTGAGACCCGCGTCAATGGTAATGATATTGGGGCCCTGCTTGCTGAGAACCGTCGACAAGATAGTCAGACTCTGCGCATAGTTTGTCGAACCAACAGCATTGCGATAATCCGTATCCATGAAGAGAAAAGAGCCAGGCTGTACTTCTGTGATTCCAGGGACCGTGACACAGAACTCCGCTGTACCCGTCCCACCAGTCGTCACCACATCAATCGCGTAACCTTCTTTCCTCAGCGCATCCGCGGTCGAGGTAAGGATCCTCATGCTCTCCAGACATTGACTCTTGCGCTCCTCGAGACCGTGGATGTGTTGCAAATGTCCCTCGTACCCTTGCACGCCAATGAGTTTGAGGTGCTTTGAGCTGGCGACGAAACGTGCTAGGTCCGAGGCTGGCTGACCAGGTTGCACACCCGTGCGGTGTAATCCCACATCGAGATCGATGAGCGTCATGACGGTGCCTTCGAAGCCGCTTTCGAAAAGTGCTTGCTCGATTGCGCCGGCACCTTCTATGCTGTCGACGACTATCCGCACGTCCTTGTACTTCTTGACTAGTTCCACTAATCGCGCCACTTTTGCTGGGCCGATTATCTCGCAGGTGATTAGCAGGTCTGTGAAGCCTTTTTCGCACATGACTTCTGCTTCGGAAAGTTTCGCTACGCATCCTCCTTTTGCGCCCGCTTTGACCATCTTCTTCGCCAGAATAGCAGATTTCGTGGTCTTAAGATGTGGGCGGATGTTGACGCCGGTGGGGAGAAGTTGTTTCATGAGTTTATCCAGGTTGGCTTCCATGAGGTCCAAGTCCACAATCATTGATGGCGTATCTAGCGAGTCTAGCGAGTCGCCTACTTTGGGAGAGTACGGCATGGTTGCGACGTGTACGAGATGCTGGAGGGACCGATGGAATAGAGAGCGCTTCTGGTGGTGAATCGTTCAAGCAGCTCGACTGAGGGGAGCAACGCGTATAGTACGGATGATACCGGG